TCGAGTGGCAACGATGAAGGAGGAGGAACAGAGGGAACAAGAGGAGGACAAGACAGAGACCAAGACAGCAGTCGAGAAGGGAATCATGGCGTGGAAGAGAGCAAGAGCTTCGAGCCAGAGGACCTCCCGCACAACAAAAGACGGAGAGACAGACAAGAAGAAGAGCTGCCAAAAAGTTTCTGCCAAAATGACGATGAGAATAGTGATGGTAGTAGTGGTGAAAGCAAGAAGAATGATAGAGAGAGCACTCCTAAACGAAGTCGAGTGCAGGGTGACAGTCTTAGTAGACACGTGCAGTTTTCTTCTGTTATTACTACGGTATCTGTCTTTAATCCTGAGAATAGCGTAGCTCCCCCTACGACGCTCGGTCCCGGGGTCCCAGATAGTGGACTATAGAAACATTTTGTGTTTCCCGCCGCACTGAGACTGACGTCTTTTCATTGGTCAGCCGGTTAGCGCGGTCGATTGTTGTTGTTGTCTTCACATTAACACACACCCAGCACACACACCCATCTACGATGCTGAGCCCCCATTTTCGTAGATCTGTCGGAGATTTTGTACCAATTTCATGTGCCGAAAGTTATTACGCCGCATGGCAACCGGGACTTGGCTCCTGGCTCCTTCGCTCCTGGCTGTCCGGCTGTTGTGCTATGCTGGCTAATCGTGTATTCTTGCCGACCCTGCTAGCAGTAGCCAGTGCTGGTGCTTTCGTGGTCCCGTACCCTCGAATGTCTGAAATGATGACAGAGTCGAGCCGGTCCAGCAGGCATCAAGCAGCAGGTCCTGCCGAAGATGCAGGTGGTGCCGTCAAAGCGCAAGGGATCGGCCTTGAAGGACTGGGTGCGGTAGCCTCGCAGTACGATGCCTTTTTCATTGGTGAGTAGGGACTTTGGGGAACCGCGCATTACCGCTCAAATAGAAGGCAACCAGCAGACAAGTGGGGCCAGCAGTTTAATAGACTCTGCCACACATACTCTCCCTTTCTTCCCCTCGCTGCCTCGGCAAGGTTTGTTTTGCGTAGGCATGACCCTTAGCGAGGGGGGGGTCTTCCTAGCGAGCAGGGCTAGACTAACCCTCAAGGGACCGATACCTTCTTGCTGCGGCGCACCCGCCGCGAGGCGTGCGTAGTGGTGGAGTTGCATCGGCACTGGTGCGTCAGGTACAAAGGTGCAGATGCGCGGGCCTCCAGGCCGTCGGTGTTGGCAGCAATGCCCATCTCATCTTTGTGCGCGGAGGCAGACGTCATCAGAAAGGTGGACGGACACGATGTACACGGCCCTAGGTTTGCTAGAGGGAGCTGTACTGTCTCAGTAACCTGGTTTTTGCCATCAAAGGAGGAGGGGACAGGTGGTGACGAGCTGATTGGGCTGGTTGATCCTTCGGCGCGAGAATTTTTAGACCAAGAACCCTAAAAGTGCAACGAGGGGGAAAGCGAGGAACCGACTGGGATGGACAGCAACGAGAGCGTGTACGAAGCGGAGCGGGTCGAGTTTGGTCGTGCTAGGACTGGCCACAGCGGCACCGGAGCAGCGGCACCGGAGCAGGCGGACGGCATCGAACCGTGCCGCACGGACAAAGATCTCTTGTGTTGTCAATTATTTCTCCGTTTCTTTCCTGAATACAGGTGTTGGGTGTGTTATGACGTCGCTGGTTTTGTAGAGAGATGCGGCAGAGATGGCGCGGATAACCCGGGTGCCTTAATTGTGTACCTGCATCGTGGAAGACCCCTTCAATGTGGAACGATTCCTAGTCAGTGTCGATGTTTACACTGCTGTGCCTAACACAGATGATCTGGATAGATTCGGGTGATTGTCAATTGCAATGATGGCTTTGGCTGGGTGTTCTTCTTCATTGTATGTCCACGGACTCATTCTGACAGCACTTCAGACAGCAGCTGCATGCCCCGAGCTTGTGTACCATGCACCATGCATGGTGTTATTTTTGTACAGACAGCACTTCAGACAGCAGTACGCTGTAGTCGACAAACATTCATTTTGGTTAAATGCGGGACAAGGGGGGTGATGCTGCTGCTGTAGTCGATTTGTAGTGTGTGGGCGTGTAGTTCAGTTGTGATCATGCAAACGTGCTGCAGGGATTGCAGGTGTACCTCCTCGGTCTTGCGTACCCTTTTCTTGCTAATAGAGTGTGTGTTCTTTAGATCCTCTGATGGCTCTAGCATTTTTGTGACCACGGACCGAGCCTTTGCTAGATTTTGGGATTAGCAACTGACTCGAGTTTCATGTGAAGAAAAACAACAAACAACACACTCGCGCATCGGTTGAGCATGCATGTGACGACGCTGCGTGTACACCGATACCGATACCACAGTCTTCTGCAGGTTACACAGCGTTGACTGTCAAGCGTAAGTACCTATGATCTGCTGCCAAATGTGACCACATGTTCCGATCACATTAGCCCTGACCAATGGGAAAGTCGACAGGCTACGCGGTCGTGTTGAGCACGTGCTTCTTTGCAGGATACATGTTTGCATCGGTCGCAATCATTTGGCGGTTTGTCGGCTTTGAACGGGTTGTGTGTGCTTCAATCATATATCGGTCGCAATCATTTGGCGGTTTGTCGGCTTTGAACGGGGTGGGTGTGCTTCAATCATATACATAGCTGCATCGACTGCATCATGTAGTCTGACCGACTTGTGTGTACAGTCAAGTGGAGTATTGCCCGCGCTAATTACAGACAAGGACAATACTGTCTACAGCATGTTTTAGTGAGTAGCGTCAACCACGTGTTTAGACTAGAGTGTTCTTCAGGCAGCACAGACCGCGCCAACGCGCTCGGAAGAGGAAAGACATGGCGTGGTCGTCTACGGATTAAATCAAAGCGAACAGCACGTGTTTGTGTGAATTGGCGTCAATCGCGCTAGCCAAACGACAAAAAAATGACGCAAGTCTTACGTCCCCAACTTGGGGAAGAGATTGGACGAAGGGGTCCAACGTCCGGACGCAGAGCGCTTGCCCAAGGACGGGAAAGACACAACAGCGCCGCCAACTTTTCCTCCAGGATACCTGCTGTTGTGCTAGCTTGGTGACCCCGCAGGAACTCGCTTTCTCTGGGATTTCTCATATCTTTGTTGGGCGCTTCACTGGCTTTGAAATGTTGATCCAGCGAGTTTCTACTGGACTCCGCTCTGTAGTGGTACGCTCTAAGGACGAAATATTCCTACGTTGAGCCGGTGTCGATGGATTATGAGAAGCGCTTAGTACGTGCAGCTGTAGTTTCCTCGACTACGCTAACCGGCTGGCCAATGGAAGGAGGTCAGCCTTCTAGCGGGTGACAGTTAAAGTCTCCCGGGGGGCGGACTCTCTCTTCCCTCTCTCTCTCTCTCTCTCTCTCTCTCTCTCTCTCTCTCTCTCCCCTCCACCAAAGACGCCCACTCCTTCCCACCCCTGGAACTTTGATGCTTTTTCCATGCTGCGGTGTTGTGGCGGTCCACCATGACAACAATGGCAGTAACGTTGCATTCCATCCCTTTGCCGCCACTCCTATCCATGACGTTTCTACTAATATGTGACGCAGACCAGTGGGGTGTCATGCACGACGGGAAGACGCCATACCCAGGCGCCGTGGACTGCATTGATCGCTTAAGCAAAGCGGGCAAGAAAATTGTAAGTGTCCTGCTGCTTCTCCGCCATGAGACGCAAATCACGGCGTAGTCCGTTTTCGAGACAGGTGCAACACCGCATTGGGTACGTTCCCTAGGCGCAACGTATAATACCGGATCGGTGAAATACCGCTCGGCAGAAACACCTGCGTTGAGCCATGTGAGTCGTCGGTTTCATTGAACGTTCTCTTGGACCCCCGGCAACATTGAACATAGTGGTGGCTGCAACACCGCAGATGGTACACGCACAACCCGTGAACAAGTTGGCTCGCGTCACCGTGCCGACAGGTCCTGCTGAGCAATTCCTCCAAGCGGAAAGGGGCCGCGCTGCGCAATCTGGAAAGGATGGGATTCTCCACGGTGAGCGGGGTAGACGACTGCGGTAGGTACTTCTGTTCGTGCATTCCTAAAACATCGCTCCTTTGTCAGGCGATATTGCAGGAGCTTGAACAGCCGCTTGGTATTTACTCACAGCATTGGGATGCGCGAACCATGTGTTGAAGGTCACATATGAAGCAGCCTGATGTCACCACTTTTGTCATCGCTTGTGCTGCGAAAGTCGTCGATTTCGAGCCTCCTTTTTAGCACGCCAGCAGTCCATGCGAAAAACGCAAATCAAGCGCAGGCCGTCGAAGTACATTGGAGTTCCAACAGAACTGAATGCTATTTACGTAGATGAGGGTTCAGCAGCTGGCCGTCCGCAGCACTGGTCTGCATTTCCGGAGAATGAGTTGAGCCAAACGCGCGGTTTCGTTGCCGTTGACTTGTCGGCGGTACTGTCCAATGCCAACTGGTGTGGTGTGTTACACCGGTGGTACGCTTTTGGTAGCTCTCCCGAAGTTGGTGCTCAGCGATATTACATTTTTTTCGCCTCAGTCATGGCCTTACCTTCCATGCCCCAGGGTGCTATTCTAGACGTAGTGACAAGTGGACAGATTGCGTGGGATGGGCTGCAGGATCGAGTGGAGGAGCCGTTCAAGTCTCTCGGGGCAAAGTGCCTCGTGTTCGGCAACGGCGACGACGACCTAGAGGTGCGAAGGTGTGCATGTTTTTTCTTATCCGTCATTCACCATTTACAGCTAAACAACAAAGTGCTGCTAGTCAAATAAATAACGGGGCACGCGGACGAAGTTGCAAAGGTGGCACACTTTTCGCGAAGCTTACATTGGAATATGTGCCGGAGGCGGAGATAGAGCTTCACTCCCCCGGTTGCTGGTTGCTCTAGATTTAGCGGTGACTTGTGCAACGGGTCTCATCTCCCCGACGTTCATTGAGGATGATTCCCTCTTGCCACATTGGCAGTATGTTCGTGGCATCTTCACAAGTTCTAGCCCGGGTTCCCCCTGATGTCTGTGCCCAGCTATCGTGATTTATGTCCGGTTACGACGGTCGTGATTTTTTGCGCACACAACCAACCATTGTTTTACCACCGGTTTGGTTTTCACTCTCTTCATCCTTCGGGTTAAATCATGTACGGCCCATCTCGAATCATGGCTGTAACATTACGGTCCATCTCGAATAATGTTTGTACGGCCAGTATGTGTCCAGCTGCGGCTGTACGTTGGCGGAGGCACAAGACGCCGACTTCATCCTCGCCAGGTGAACGAGCACAACTGTCTACGGAAAATTTTATAGGAAATACCTGGCATCGCTCATACCCCCATGGGACCCGGCGATGGCTGCAGAGTATCAGTTGGTTGCTGTAATACGCGTCAAGCGGTTCGGAGATCCGTGTTTCAAAGCTCAGGTTTTCAGTTTCTGCTGAACACTCGGGTGAACCTCGGTCCGCAACCTATGTGCCTGTACGTTCGGGGTTCATGTGCCAGACGTGCCCTCCGGTTGATGTTTGTTGTCCTTCCCGCGCAGAACGAAGAGGGATGGGGTTGTTTTTCCCGTTGAACATTCATTCTGGAAATCTTGATGTGAGTTTCTCCACGTTCTTAGCACCATGTGAAAGGATCCTGTGTAGCGATCAATCGCGAAGCACACGGCAGTCTGTTATATGCTCAAAAGTAAAACGGCTTGATCCACGTGAGTTTTCTCGAGCAGGATTTCCCCTTTGCGCTTGCCTGTAAACCAGGGGGTCTTTCGTAGTTGCCGACTCCAATGGGACTAGGCGCTATTCCCCTACGGTCATGACCGGGGAAGGCAAGGAGGAAACACACAAAGCGATGAGGCTCATGCTGGAGAGAGGGGCACCCATGCTAGTCACCAACCCAGGTCTGGTTTCATGTGCGACACGTGCTTAACGCCGCTCCCACTAAGTTGCCCTACCAGTTGTTAATTAGTGGCTCGCCCTCCCTGAGTGTAGTGTTGCCGAGCATACGTACGTTCGTATCGTGCTGATCAATAGAGCGACTTTAGTACAGCATAGGAGTATGAAACGTGAGCGCTGAACTAGTTTGGAGCGTTTCCATTTGCTGCGTGGCTGGTAAGGAGGTCCGGCACCGCAACGACGCACCTATACCAAACAGTACATAACACATGTTTGGAGTCTTGGACCTTCACGGAGGAAACTTAACAGTGTGCATGGCGTAGGTGTCAAACTCATTCACACGGTCTCGACTAAGGTGTTCTGTGATTCAGTAGGCCTACGTGTTTCAAGTTGACTGCCGACACTCCACGTGCTGTTCTGGGTGACCGCTAATCCCCAACGTTACGCAGATTTTCTGCGGCCTGGCACAAACGATCCAATGCCGGGGTTGATCGGAAAAGCCTACGCCGAGATGGGTGGCATGGTGCACTACATCGGCAAGCCGCACCCAGCGGTGTACCAGGCGTGTTTCCAAGCTCTCGCTACCGCCAAGGTGAGAGAGAGGAATGCTATGTAAGCACTTCGGCATGGTGACTAAACCGAAAGGGTTTGGGGGGCAAGGCGATCGATCAGCAGGAACTTCATTCAAGAAATTCGCGATGGAATCCCACTGTCTGTACCGTCTGATCTGTTTTTTGTCGAGTTCTGGTCCGCGCAAAGCAAAGTGGGTGACGATGGAGAGGGAGATAATAATACTGCGCGAAGTCCCGGCCCTTTTCGTGCTGAACTCGATAACCGACGAAGAGTTGTGAACGCCATGCACTTTCAAGTGATTTCATTTGCTCCTTCGATCACGCCGGACAAAAAAGGTCAATGGCGCCACAATCCATCAACCCCCCCCCCTACCGTTTTTTTTTTTACCTCCGGTTTTTTTTTGACGGTAACCATAATGGTGGTCGAGTAGATCATGTTGTGCGGGGTCGAGAACCCTCACTCCGCGCAAGGGGGATGATCGCACCACGTTGTGTTAAAATGGTCAAGCACCCTCGAGGCAGTTACACAGTGCTTACAACTGTC